ACGAAGCCATACATCCCTGAGATGCTTTCTTAGGCAACACAAATATTGAGTGAGCAAATTACGTTGACCTAAGGTCAGGTACAAAGGTCAGACCAAGGTCAAAACCAACCCGTTTTATTTCTCTAGGTTTTTCTGTATGGGACAGTTTCTGGTGCTCATTTCGCATTCATTGATAGGAACCACATTTTACTTGGTCACCATGACCTTCAAAATTTCAAACAAGGTCACTGAACTTAAATGAGTATGTGATATTTGGCTTAGAGACACCCTGATCTAGATCCAGGTTCTGGGGACACTCTGGAGACCAACCAGGAATTTGACCTTGTTTGGCCTTATTTGACCTGAAGGTCATGACCTAGGAACCTCAAACTTCGACTTAAGTGATTTCACGTACAAGTTAACACACCCTGTAAATTTAGTGTCTCTAGCTCTCTTAGTTCTCGAGATCTCAGGGGTTCAAATTGACCCCTATCCGAGCGAAGGGTATCTAGCCGGCCACTCGGGCGCGTGTAAACGAAAGCGATTTTGCGTTATGACAGTCGCCTTGAGAAGCGTTACACAACTACTCGAAGTAACTGGCCCATCGGCTGGGGGCGCATGCACATGTACGCTCCCAATGGGGCATTGCGTCATACGCACTGCGGAAGTGTCCAAAAGGGCTGGTTACGAGAAACCCCAGAAATAGTAGCAACGATATATGGGACCATTTCCAGAAAACAGACAATGCCTAATACGCTTTCAACAAGTCACATCTTGTAATATTACTCGCTATCATACCATCCTCGATATCATTGGAATCAGGTCGCTTGCGTGACATCATATGCCACGGGAACTATTAATGATTATTGAAATTGAAGGTAACTAACAAAGACTCATGTAACGACGGTCCGTTGCAGTCCATTCTCACGCGCCAGACGTGTCTGCCAAGCCCAAGGCACGAGCATGTGGTTGGCGACATGCAGGGCGCGGCACAGCTCGTGCGCTTGATCAGCGGCGCCGGGGTTCACCCAGCCGACCGGTCATGGTGCTGACCTACTCTCCAGGCTACCTTGGTCGCAGACGAGTCACTGAGTTCGGCAAGCCGCCCAGGTTCCCTGTTCCTGAAATATTCATGCGACTCGGGTCACGCAACGAAGGCTAGCTCCTATTATTTCATAGCTAGCCATTATCTCCAGGCTGTCTTGCGCCGGCTTTCTCAGAAGCACATCCTTACGCAGCCAGTTTTATTAGTTTAATATCCGATGCTTTCAAGAAAGTCATATGATGCATTGCCTTCATACTCCACGTCCATTCATCCCTGTCGCTTCACAACCATATTAACTGTTAACGTATGGCTCCTCCCCTGACATGTGCCCCAGGCAGATGGCAGATTCAACGTCAACACGTTGAGGTACCTTTCGCGGGGTATGAGTGACGAGTTCATCTGCAGTTGCACCGAACCATTAGACCGCGCCCGGCTAGCTGGAGTCACGGCCTCGGAAACGTCCGCAACACGATCAGAAATTTCAAGCGCGGTTGTGAGCCTCTCAGCCACGCACCTTATCCCCCCCCCCCCCCCGTCCCTCCATTGGCTCCACCAAGGTCACGCCTCCACCAGACTCAGATTTCTTACTCGGGCTCAGATCTTGATCAGTACGTCCTTCCCCGCTGAATGACACTGACCACCACCGAAAATGGCCGACTACCGACGCGCTGAACCAGACGCCATGAGGGCATGGAGCCGGGGGGCAGGCGCGCCAGCCCTGCCGCCTGCCCGCCACCCGAGCAGGGACTGTTTGGGCAGCCCGGACAGAGCGCGGCCGCGTGTGACCGTGTGCGGCTAGCGCTGGTAACCGCTGCAGTGACGACGACGGCCGAGCTGTGCCAAACGCCCTACCAAACGCCCGACAATATGGAAATGGAAGTGGGACGATAACAGATGGTATGGGACGTGCAGCTAGTCCACGTATTCATGGGAGGACTAGCGCTGGGACATTTTTGCCAGTTATGTACTCAGTTGGAAGCCTTTTTTCTATCAAAGGGAGTGTTCCACATTCATATGGAGTTTTGAACTGAAATTACCATCCTGAAGACCTTTCGGTACTGTTCACAATCTTGCCTTTCTTGAGACCTAAGGGAAAAACTGGGAAAGGTATGTCGGGGTGAGCATTTCAAAGTCACCTTGGCATACGTGACGTCATAATAATGCCATTCCAATCCTGCCATTCCATAAGCCATGCGGCGATCAACACGAAGAAAACTATAATTGACGAGGCGTTCAAATCTGGCGTTCGTGAGCGCTATTTCCAGATAAAACGGCCGTTCCGGTGGATTGTTGGCTTTTAATCAATGTTGTGCAAGGTAAGATGACGTAATCAAATGACGACGCATTGAGGAATATATTTACTAAACAGAGATTTATGCTGCCTAGGACAGCGTTTTCCACTTGTACCGACTGTACCGATTGATTGTTCCTAATTGTACCGATAGTTATAGGTGAGCTTGTTTCATCACGTCTGATGTAGGCTGCAATGTCTTCAAATGAGAAACATTCCCTTCAGGTGTCGTATTTTCTAGACGCCAAGGCTGATGACATTTTGATACCAAGGCTGGGTAACACCCCAATTCCAACGAATGTCAACGAACCTGAGTAATGCCAAGCGTGAGGGACGTGCTTGCAGATAATATGGACAGCCAACGTTGGTGTTCCTTATTCAAGGATACATAACTGAGCTCATGTTCTGGAACTAGGTGATTTGCCATGACTCGTCTAAATAGAGTAAATCCACCGGAAATGTGGACCCTAAAGGTCAGTAGGCGCTAAATGGGCTTAACTACGCTTTGATCACCTTACCGGCAAATCTGATGACTGCGCAACAGGCCTGTTACAGCAGTATTGAAGGCCAGTCACTTGCTCCACAATGACCTCCGTTGACCCACGGACAGCCCGGTGACCAAGTTACCTAAGATCACTCCTAGTGATTGCAAGTGGCCCTCCGGTGACCGCATGTGACCCTCAGTGACCACATGTGACCGCTAGTGACCGCATGTAACCCTCAGTGGCCGCATGTGACCCCTAGTGACCGCATGTAACCCTCAGTGATCGCATGTGACCCCTAGTGACCGCATGTAACCCTCAGCGGCCGTATGTGACCCCTAGTGACCGCATGTAACCCTCAGTGACCGCATGTGACCCCTAGTGACCGCATGCAACCCTCAGTAACCGCACATGACCCCTAGTGACCGCATGTAAACCCTCAGTGACCGCATGTGACCCCTAGTGACCGCATGTAACCCTCAGTGACCACATGTGACCCCTGGTGACCGCATGTGGCCCTCAATGATGGCATGACACTCAGTGGCCGCATGTGACCTTCAGTGACCACATGACACTCAGCGACCGCATGAGATCCAGTGACTAGAGGCGACCCCAGTAACCTCCGGTAACCCCCAGGTAAGCTTCCGCAACCCCAGGCTACCCCGGTGCGGCGACTCACCCCGGGTGGAAGGCGCGCACGCCCGGGTACGGCTTGATGTTGGTGGAGTTGGGCGTCAGCTCGCCGGCGGCGCTGTCAATGCGCGACGCCTCGTACTTGTCGCTCCAGTCGTGCTCCAGGGCGTCCTTGGCGCGCCGGTCCCCGGCCAGCACCCGGTCAGCCGTCACGCTCGTGTCCTCCATGAGGTCGCGGGCCCGCTTGATGACGTCCATCTCCTGGCGCGGCGGCGAGGTCGGGAGGCGGCAGTGACGCAGGCGGGAGGGGCGGTCCGCACCGCACACGAGGTGGGACGTGAGACGTTTCGTGTTTTGAGGTCATCACTCTCACATTTGGCTCCAGAAAATTGGTTGTAGTTATCGCAGCGTGGCCACTCAGCTGTGCCACTGGATCTACCTGTTCGCGGAACACCACTCACCAGGGCTGCGCCAAAGCAGTCTACTCCGAGTCGAGTTGACGCCATCCCAACAGGCCACCACTGTTTGACATACACACCACCTGAGCCTTGAGCTGAGCCCCACCACGCATCTCACCCCGACATGACCTGCACCTCAGCTGGACATGATGACCTGACCTGACCTCTGTCCGTGCTCTGGTGCTGCCTCGACGTCGCCACCCGTCTCCTTACCCGGCCGTGACCTGACCACCACGCTGACCTGGCCTGAGCCCCGTGGTCCCAACATCACCCGACCTCGCCCCGACCTGACCCTAGCCGACCTTCATCAGGGCCACGTCCAGCTGATCGGTGACGAGGTCGCCGTCGATGCGGCGCCGCCTCGTGTCCAGGCTGTCCGTCACGATCATGTACGGGATCTGCCGGACAGTGGGGCGCCGTCAGTCCCCGGCGGCGCTCCTGTGGGGGCCGGGACGTCAAACAGACGCGTCGCCTCAGGCCCAGGTCTGCTTCAGATGTGCCAGGTGGATGAGCGTCAAAAACATGGTTCCGCTCCCCGTACATTGCATTTATCCCCGCTAAGACTGGCTCAGCAGAAAACCGATATTGGAAACTCACCTTTTGTAACTTTGTTGCAATAAAAATAGAATAAAGCACATTTATTTCGCTGGTGCTGGTATTGGCTTGCAATAAAAAAGTAAGTAGAACACTACACCAAGAGATCGAAAGGAGAGCAATATCATGACAAATGATATGCATATTTGTTAAATAATGTGTATATTTCCCAGACCAATTGGTGATCTGGGAAGTTTTGGGCGGAACACTACCGCGCCGAGATGACATAACGCCTTCACCATTTTCGCACACAACGTACACTACCAGCCAGTTTCAAAGCCGCTCGGAAGTCAGGCAGTTTACAAATTGCCTGACTGCACCACCACCGGCTCAACGCCGGTTTGACGACACTTGACAGACCTGGCTTTGCACGCGCATCAGCGACACATCCGGGTAGTCTCAGTGTGCTCCCGCGGCTTCGTCGGACTCAGATCTTCGGGTCGAGTTCTCACCCTCCCGAGTCGCGGGCGCCTCTCGGGCCCTCCACGCTACCGAGACAAATGATCGAGGTAGAGCCGGCGGAAAGCGGCGTCGTGTAGCTCGCGGGATACTGCATCAGACTAGTGTTAGTGATCGCTGGTGCGAGTATAGCTCGCTGGATACTGCATCAGACTTGTGCCATTGATCGCTGGTGCGAGGTATAGCTCGCTGGATACTACATCAGAATTGTGCCATTGATCGCTGGTGCGAGGTTAGCTCGCTGGATACTACATCAGACTTGTGCCATTGATCGCTGGTGCGAGGTATAGCTCGCTGGATACTACATCAGACTTGTGCCATTGATCGTGGTGCGAGGTATAGCTCGCTGGATACTACATCAGAATTGTGCCATTGATCGCTGGTGCGAGGTATAGCTCGCTGGATACTGCATCAGACTTGTGCCATTGATCGCTGGTGCGAGGTATAGCTCGCTGGATACCTACATCAGAATTGTGCCATTGATCGCTGGTGCGAGGTATAGCTCGCTGGATACTACATCAGACTTGTGCCATTGATCGCTGGTGCGAGGTATAGCTCGAGGGATACTGCATCAGACTTGTGCCATTGATCGCTGGTGCGAGTGAACTTTGACGAGTCATGCGAGGTCAGCTGGGTACAACTAGTGAATCTAAAGCTATGTTTCGTCTACAAACTGTGCGTGCTATTTCTGTAGGAAAATTAGCACTTTGGGAAATCAGCACTGTGAGGAAAACGGCACTCGACTGTGTCGGCACCTTAAGCAAGCTGGACAATGCACCAAATAAGGCAGTGGATGTGACAGATGCCACGTTGAATCAGATCCAGCAAGTCAAGCCTTGTATGCACAGGTCCTTCCCACGTCATACCAAAAACTAATAATCGTATGGCAACAAAAACACGCCATCGGGCGCATGAATACAATGTGCGGCATCCATGATCTGAACACTGGTCTTTACTGGCGACCCATGCGAGGTAGGTGACTGAAATCCTCACGTGCATATAATTTTGAAGTTCGGCGTCTGACAACATCCGCATCATGCAAAGCGGTGTTCAATGCCTCTTTTCCAGCCAAGGGCGAGGTCCAAGTAAAACCACGCAAGTTTGGACGACACAAGGCTTGCAATGGTCCTGAAAACTGTCACCTCATACTTCGCCGATTTTCTTTCCGCGCAAACGTTTCTGATAAGAGCGGGCACATACCAGTAATTCAGCCCCGAAATTGCTGTGGTCATGGGAACTTCTTTCAGCTATCCTGAGTACCCTTGTCTCACCAACAACACGCCGCTGCACTGATCAGTGCAGAGGCGTAACGCGCACAGCTGGGTGACCACGGACCGCTTTCCTCGCTTCCGTCCCATGCTGATCTCCGGTCCTGCCGTTGCCGCGGCTGCTGCACTTGTGGCTCAAAACCGGGGACGAACGCATCGCCACGCACAGCGATCGTGAACCTCAGGTTGTACCATGCACTTCTTTTTGCGAGACAGGCCTTGAGCTCCGGCTTTTCGCCATTCGGGGTTGGGAGATCCTATTATAACAATCGCCTTCAATGTACCCGTAGGTACCCATTAAACGACGCCATTCCGGAAACGTGGGCTACACTGACAAAACGCGCTACTCCAAGCCAGACACACGGTCACGAACGGTCTCCATCAGCTTTGTCCGTCCTCTGGGTGACAATGGCGTGCTCTGTGTCTTGCGCCCCACCGCTATGCACTGCTGAAACAATGTAGCGACGTGAGCCCATTTCCTTTCATTGGTAGCAGTAATATGGCTCGACGACAGTGCCTCTAGTAGACATTGCACTCACAAATAGTCTACAGGGGCTACCCAGCGATGACCAGACCGCAAAAATGCCACGGTTGAATCCCGTTGGTGAGCCTCCGCAGTCCTAGAAGGTATGCATCTTCGATCGATCACTACATCCCCCAGACATGCCACATCAAACACGGTGAGAACTGCAGCGCTTGGCAAGTTCTAAATATTTCGTGTGCATGGTCCGTACGCCGTATCGCGGAGAAGAAGCGGGTCGCTGTTCGCTGGCTGTTCGGCTCTGGGCCCTCCCTCCCTCCTTCCTTGAGGCCCGGCGACTGTCGGGAGTGCGGTGAAGAAAGTGTGCAGTGTTTGAAAGAGTGTGGAAACTCGCCCGGCGCATGTTACGGCGCGTGTTGACCCCATGGTTATCTCTCATCGCCGCATCGCCACTGCATTGTCTCCGTGCTTATACTCACTGTCATTTCCACAACGCCTAGGCAATTCATAACTGCTTAGGCCTAGGCAGCTTAAAAACCACACCGTCGGGCACCCCGTAAGGCACCTAATTTCTGCTTTGCCTGTCACAGGCTCTCTCAAAGTTCAGACTCATCTAATCCGCCCCCGAGCGTTGCTCCGACCAGGCGCGCGTGGCCTCCCTCTGCGACCACCTCTGTCTGACATGGAGCCGAGCTAGCCCTTCCCTCGCCACACGGCCGCAGCCTCGGGTCGTCCCCGGGCAGCGTCTCGTGCCCGGCGCGCCGGGCTACATTACAGACGAGTCGGCTGGCTCTGTGCCGGCGGCACTCGGCGACCACGATACTGGATAGGACCGCCGAGTGCCGCCAGCGCCGCCGTCGGCGCGACACCACCGGCCGTACCACGGCGGCCAGCCACTCCCCGGAGAGGCGCGGCGAGTGACGACGCTCAGCGAAGGCAACGCGCGCTCGCCAGGGACAATTTCGGATATACATTGATTCACGGCGCGGGGATGCTGGCTTGGTCAATAGATCGCCGCTCCTAAGGGCGTGTAGAGGCAGCGCCGCGCTGACATTGCTGCCCCCGCGCCGCCGACGCCCGACAGCTGCCTGGATCGTGAAGTCAACAGGAGCAAGGAGTTTGGAGCGAGCGGTGAGCGCATCAAGACGTGTGGGACCATAGACCGCCACGCCGCGTGCGAGTCGTAGTCGCGCGCCATGTATGCATTTGCACGATATGTGATGTACACGGTGGATGCGATGATTTGACCTTTACGTCGAAAATATTTCAAGGGGTCAGATAAAGTTGCTTGCAAAATGGCAAGCGATTGAAGTGAACCGGGAAAAGCACAGCATTACAATAGCTAGCCTGCAACTCATTTCCGCCTTAAACTTTGCCCAGAGTGACATACGACGGAATCAAGTTTATGGAATTAAATACATATAGCTATATCATGAGCGACTGGTGGCTACATATCGTAAGGGAGTGACTGTTGCTCTCGCACGCAGATCATGTGGAATACGCATCTAGGTAGGAATTTGATGGGACGTTGCGAACGTCTGTCCATGGTCTATTCAAGACAAAAAAATCACTGGGATATTGTAAATGCTTGGCTTATGCGCACACATGTAGCGGCATCCAAACGCGCCTCTGCGCGTTATATTCTACATGCTACAGCATGCTCACGGTGAGTAAATAGAGCTCCACACGTGGTCTTATATGCACCCACAGCCTGTCCACGAAATTGCGCGAGTCTCGCACTTGACATTCAAATCCGTGCCACCGCACGCGTGCGATGCTACCTGCGAGGCGTTCAAGGAGTTTCGCAGGCGGTTCTTCTGGGCGATCAGCAGGTCAATTTCATTCCGCATGTCCTCCAGCAGCCTCTCGAGCTCGAACTTCCAGTAGTTGGTGTCACGCAGACGCTCACCTGTAGCGGGCGGCGAGAGTCAGATACCGAGGTTTAAAGTTCAGATTTCATAGGTCAGAGGTCAGAGACCCGAGCTCAGAGTTCACAGTTTAGAGATCAGAGGTCAGATGTCCAGGGTAAGGGTCGCAGGCGACATGTTGGAGGCTGAGGGCGGGGGTTATGAGCTACCTGTAAGAGTTCGTGACGCACTGCCACGTCACATCTTAGCACCTGCATACAGCATAACCCTCTAACGCCAACCCATCTGTCTCTTAGATCAGCGACAGTGCAAAGCCGCCTCTGAGCAACATCGACCCCACTCTGAGCGGTAGCATGGAGCCACCCTCAGAGCGCTTCTTCAGCCAGCCATGCGCCACCACGGAGGCTGAGAAGTGGGGCCGCTCCGACAGGGCGGCGGAGAGTGGTGATGGATCGCCGGCGCCGGCTATCTCGCTCGCCGGCAGTCGCCGTCCAGCCGGACTAGATGGATCGCTCGGCGCGATTGGGCCCGTTCAGTTCAAAATGGCCAGCGGCAGCGTGTCGCTCCGCCGAGGCTAGGTCGAGCTGCTGCGGCCGGCCCGCAACGGCGAAGGTCTGGAGGTAGGCTGGCGGACGGTGGTTGAGGCTGGAGCTGGCTTCAGCGCACCCGTGGATGTTTGTCCGGCTGCGCTGGTCTTGTCGGCAAAACTACCCACGTGATGTTTCAAAACCTCCCCGGTCATGTCATGCGAACATTACGCCAAACCAGACGAGTGAAGTGTCTGCTGTTGGCCTGTCCCGCGCAGACAGCGCTCGGGTAGACTGCATCATTGTCGCACCACACGCTAACACACACAATTCGAGTGCAAAAATGCAGAGTGGGCGGACTGCATCGCAGGCGCACCTGATGGGCACGTAACCGGTGAGCGGGGGATCACGAGCCCCACTCCGACCGCCCCCGTCACCATCGGCAGGAATTAACCGGTTGAGCGGGAGATCACGAGCCCACTTCCGACCCGCCCCCGTCACCATCGGCAGGATAACCGGTGAGGGGGAGACCACGAGCCCACTCCGACCGCCCCCGTCACCATCGGCAGGATTAACCGGTGAGCGGGGGATCACGAGCCCACTCCGACCGCCCCCCGTCACCATCGGCAGAATTAACCGGTGAGCGGGGAGACCATGAGCCCCACTCCGACTGCCCCCGTCCCATCGGCAGGATGCAACGGTTGAGCGGGAGGATCACGAGCACTCCGACCGCCCCCCGTCACCATCGGCAGGATTAACCGGTGAGGGGAGAGACCACGAGCCCACTCCGACCGCCCCCCCGTCACCATCGGCAGGATTAACCGGTGAGCGGGAGATCACGGCCCCACTCCGACCTGTCCCCGTCACCATCGGCAGGATTAACCGGTGAGCGGGAGATCGCGAGCCCGTTCCGACCGCCCCCGTCACCATCGGCAGGATACATTGCGGGTCAAACCACTGGATTCACATCAGCTACATATTTCGGAAGAGAAGCAGCACGCCTTGGTCGAAGGCTCGGGAACAGCACTAGCAGTTTCAAGGACCAGTCGCACCTCACTTCTCACCGCGATCAGCAAGTGATCGCCACGCCCGTTGATTTACCTGTGACGCAATATGCTCCACGCATCATCTTACAACAGCCGCTGCTGCCGCTTAACGACATCGATACATGGTTTACCCTCCTGCAATGTACTGGTCGCCTGGCGAAAGCTCGGTCAGAGCCCATTCTCACATAAAACACCAGACCATAAAGAGCTGTTCGCTAAGCTCGCTGTACCAGAGGATCCATCAGCATCGGGCCCAACTACGCTCAGCATCAGGCGATCCACAATAACGAATCATTACTGCTCGCGGTACCAAGGTAGCATGCAGTTACGCCATACTGACTGCATAATTGCGCGCTTCGACGCTGGCTATACGACCTGAAGGTACAACACATTATAGCTGCATGTCACGCACCGTGCCATTCTTCTCAGCCAAGGCCATCACGGATCCGGGGAGAGGCAGAGGCAGAGGCAGAGGCAGAGGTAGAGATCGGCGACGTTATCAAATCCAGACATTCGCACTCGCTGACTGAGCGGAGCTGGACAGGGCCCGGACGGCTCTGGCGACATTCCCCGTGTGATTAGTCGGCCATCGTCGCACCTGTGAATGCCGCCTCTGACAGCTCCGATGTCGCCTTCAGCAGGCCATCATGTTATCACGAAAGCACGCGGCTACCGGGACGCGGCAGCTGTCGCGTCAGTGAGCAGGCGCACTCAGTGGCTGCACCACGTCTCGAGTGATCAACGCATTGCCGGTGCTGCTGGCCGGACGGCGCCGCCGCCGCAGCCGATGCGAGGCGCCCCCGTCGCCCACTGCGAGATGCGCTCAATGCAGCATTCCACGGACAATAGCCGCACAGCAGCAGAACGGTAACGTCTATCATCGCCAGTCAACGACGCAACAAGAACCGCTGGCAATCACGTCGCGCTCGACAAGCGACCAGTCACGCCTTTTCTTCGTGGGGGCATATTATGTCGGTCACAGCGTACGGTGACGGCGCCGATCCGTCGTACGCCGACCCGAGTGTATTGATGGACGAGGAGGCTGCGGCCCCACTGTCCCAGCGCCGGGCAGACCCGTCCGACCGGCATCGGCCGGGAGCGCGGCGAGATGCAGCGCCGCCTGGTGACAGCACGGCGTCCGGCTGGTCAGGGCCCGCGCTGAAGGCGCCGGCTCGGCGCTCCGTGTGACGGCAGCGAGCGGAGCTCATCGAGCCCCCGTCCGCTGTTGTCCCGGCGCGTCCTGGCCTGACGCAGCGTGTGCAAGATCGCGAACCGGATGCCCAGGAGTGTCGGTGTTCGTGAGCGGGCGGGTGGGGTGGGGATGGGTGGGTGGGAGGACTCGCCGCCACAGCTGTCTCGGTCCCCGTTCGGCGCTAAGCCGCCTCTCCCGTCACAACGCCGCGCGCCGACGTCAGGAGGTCCGCGGCTCGGACCGCGGCCCGTACCGAGCTTCTTGGTGGTGTCGGCGGCCCGGTGCCGGCACGTGGTCAGGCACTCGTCCTGCTGCCGCTTGCTCAGCTCCCGCAGCCTGCAACAGAGGTTGCAGGCGCATCAGGCAGCGCTCAGCGCGGCCCGAGCATGCGGAGAGAGCAGCGGCGCCGCCACACTGTCCCAACTAGCACCTCTCGGCTGACCAATGTTGACATCGTTGGTCATGTACTCATGAAAAACACCTGGGGTCCGTGCAGATACGTCAGGGAATAGGTTTGGCCGGGGTCAACCAGTACACTTGTCATAGTCGGAATCACCCACGGGCCATCGCCCGGCATCTGCCCGACGCAGACCGCTATAGGTCAGTATGGGCATATCTGAATCCACCGTGGTACAGTGGATATGTGCACAGCTGAACCTGAAGTAATCTCAAGCCAAGTACTTGGCTGCGACATGCGTAGTTAAGCTTTCTTGCTGTTACCTCCTCAGCAGGGGAAGGTTTATGAGACCTTCAGGTATCGTTTCACTGGCTACATAACATCCAAGTAAAGCTTAGTAGCTTTGTCGCAATGGTCTGCTCACTCTGGATTTTGAGAAAACGAGCGTGCGTTGGCATATTCAGGGTTTGAAGCTATTCATTTCACATGAAGCCCTTGGGACCAAACCTGCGTCCTGACACGCCTGGGGTTAAATCCCGCTAGCCGGGCAGCGGCACGTCGAGACAATTCACAAAACCTGCTTTCCTGACGGGTCGAGCCGCACCTGGTTTGAACCGACACCGCGCTCGCCGTGCGTGTTTTGAACAAAATCTGGCGAGGACGAACACCTGCTCCATTTAAAAAACATGATTTGTGTTCGCGGCCATTTTTGCAGGCACTCACAGTTTTTTGCATGGGTTGACAAGACCTTTGGCCAGGGGTTCGGAAAAAAACCGGATAAGATCTGGGAGATAGCTAGAGAATGGAGACAGATATCCGCTGTTGTGAAATAATATTAGGGCATGGTAAACAGGCGCCAATACAGGACAGGCGACGGCCCGACCGGGTCAGGACGTCAGCCCAAGGCGCGAATGCAGATACAGGTGACGGCCAGACCGGGTCAGGACGTCGGCCCAAGGCGTCAATACAGATACAGGCAACGGCCCAGACCGGGTCAGGACGTCAGCCAGGGCGTCAATACAGATACAGGCAACGGCCAGACGGGTCAGGACGTCGGCCCAAGGCGTCAAATACAGATACAGGCAACGGCCAGACCGGGTCAGGACGTCAGCCCAGGGCGTCAAATACAAGATACGGGCAACGACCAGACCGCGTCAGGACGTCGGCCCAAGGCGTTCAAATACAGATACAGGCAACGGCCAGACCGGGTCAGGACGTCAGCCCAGGGCGTCAAATACAGATACGGGCAACGACCAGACCGCGGTCAGGACGTCGGCCCAAGGCGTCAAATACAGATACAGGGCAACGGCCAGACCGGGTCAGGACGTCAGCCCAGGGCGCCCCAAAAGTTTTGCGGCCGCACAGCGAGGGGCTGCCACTCCTTGCATGGCCATTCCGTGTCTGGCGGGAAGCGAAAACCCCTGTTGCTCGTAGAAGGCCTAGCCTTTGCCCCTTGATTTGAACGATGGGCAATGCATGACTTAACCCATAAGTGGCTGTGAGGCATGTGACCCGTCCCATTTTCGCGACCCGCCGCCTCCAACCAGGCCCACTGAGCCGTTTTTGAGCCATGCTCTGCTCATATTTAGATGGATGTGTCCTTGTCTGGCATGGGTCAGTAGATCTGGCCACATACGTTGCAGCAGTAGGCCGAAGCGGTCATGGCTCTTCGATGTTGGCCGATGCTTAATACTAATCGTGAAGAGATGGATAGCATCGTAGGCGAGTGAAAATGATTAACTTAAAAGGGGTCTCCCCACCCGCGCCCGTGCCCGTGCCGTGCCCGGTGCCGTGCCCGTGCCCGTGCCCGTGCCCGTGCCCGTGCCCGTGCCCGCGCCCGCGCCCGCGCCCGTGACTGCGCCCGCGCCCATGCCCGCGCCCCGCACACGGCACACGCACACGCACACGCGCACGCACACACGCACACACGCACAAGCACACGCACAAGCACACGCACACGTACACGCACACGCACACGTACACGCACGCTGGGACGTTCTAATGCCTTCAGCCTGAATGGGTCAGTGCCGCCTAAAGTTGGAGAAGAATGCCGGCTTGGATCCCACCAAGTGATCCAGAAAAGAATCCGAAAGCTTGGGTCAAACTGGCCCTCATGTTCTTGCTCAAACAGACCATACAAACTTACTACTATCGCACGAGACATTACAAGCCGCACCCTGTACTGTCCAGTCCGAAAACAAGGCCATGTCGACCCCAGGGCAGCTTGGGCTGCTCCCAGTAGCATGTGATCACTTGAGGTGCTTGGGCCAGCTCAGTACAGCTCGGGCTATCCTGGCTTTGATCGGAATAGGCCACACTAAGCCAGTATTGGTCATCTCGGGTCAATACAGGTCAGTACGGATCAGTAAGTGACGCACAGCTCTGAGAACAGTTCGACGACGGGCAGTCCAGGCAAGGGTGAGGTCACTGGGACAAAGTGAGGTGGTCCACCCTCGAGCCTTCAACGGCCAAGGTCATCTGAGGTCACGGCTGCGGTCCGTGCGTCGACCCCGAGCGCTGCAGCAAGAACGGACCTCACAGCAAACACTAGAACAGCAGAACAACAAACACTAGAGCAGCGGAAGCTCAACAGCAAACGATGGACGGCTGGCGAACCATCTGTTCAAACACCCTGGAAGTGGAGTGTCTGGCCTGGGGGTTTCGAGTGTGGCCGCCGCACCGTATATTACGTTACCGGTGCATCACATAACGAAACGACCAGCGCACTCATGTTCTGTGTCTGTGATGACAAGGCAAATGCTGTGAGCAGGGTACATGAGTGGAAGCTGTTTCCCGAATGCTTCAGATTATCTCGCTCTAGATAAATATTTTGGGCCATAACGGAAGGCATTCGCGGCACTTTTCGTGTATTCGAGAGGGAGTCTCGTTTATGCGTCAGCATGCCTGGACAACAGGGTGATTCTCGCTCTAGGTTTGATATCAGCAGTTGTCTGGACACCCGTAGCGATGCTTTTCATATCACAATCACATATGCCAACTTTTAACGGTGTGTTAATATAAATTGTCGTGCGCCGGTCGAGGTCGACCTCCGCTAACCGCAAAAAAACGCGGGCCAAGCCGCAGCTTCAGCAATCATTACGCGTGTGCTGCCTGAACACTGTCTATTTTGGGCAGTTATAGGGCATCCATACTTACATTTCTGAGTTTTCCTTGTCCGATCTGGCTCCAAAAACTTTTCGGTCGTTCATCTGGTCCCATTCTATGATATTGGCAGATCGCACAAGTTGGCAACCGGTTGACGATGAGTAATCTTGGCCCGTCATTGATGAAGATTTAAGTTCAGACCAAATGTCTGAGGCTTCTCGATAGATTTGCACGGGTTCGGAACGGGTGCTGGACGACATGAGTCGGTAATTCGAATATCGCCACAATGTTCTTGCTTGACATTCAATATAGGCTCGCGTTGAGCGGAAATGCCTCCAGGGCATCTACAAACGTTAACAGAGGCCATTTCTGGTATGTTGAACTTCAAACTCAGGATGTGAGACCAACGATTATATCACCGGAACACAACAACCCGCACACCCCCCTCAAATAAACACCGCCTGCGGGAAACCGCACACCGAGGCTCGTCGCCGCGGGGTCGACAATTCCTCGGCGTCCTCGTTGTCATGGTAACCATGAAGGTAGTGATGGGAACATTGGTGTTGAAATATTTAACTCGTGTGCCAAGCATAGATACACAGGATTAGATAGGACAACAGCCGTCTTCCACTATGTTAAACCGCCCGCCATCTTGTTAAAAACCTTGGTAGATCCAGGAATCGTGGTAAAGACATCAAGCTGTCTATGCGGTTTCCCGCTGTTGCGTTGGGAAGGGGTCGGTATTTGGCGTTGGTGGCAAACATTTCTTTGTGTCGTGGTCTTCGTTGGATATATGACGTGTAGCATGGTCTCTGCAAACCACAGATGCATCCGTTGGGCCATATATTTGTGTATTTCGTGTTATTGTTATCGTTAGTGACTGTGCCAGGCGGAAGCGCCAATCACTTCGCAGTTCCCTTTCAATGGACTAGTCACGGTCTAGCTGGGGTCAGTGCTCCCCAGGTTTTTTTTCATTTTATGACCACTTTCAACTTTTTAACTGAGATATATGACTTCTTCCGCTTACTTTTATCAGCTGAGTACTTTTCCATGATTGTACATTACTGTAGTGTTCAGGTGTTTTGAAAGTTTTTTCCATAGTTGACGTTAAACCGTAGTTGTTCGGACGCCCTGGCGGAAGTTACAGGAACCTGTGTTTGGTCATGTCACCGCTGCGGAGTCTGCGTGTGAGGCAAGGGCCTTTCATGCGGGTTGTTGTCTGTGTGGTGCGGCGTGGTCGGCTGTCTGGTTGTTTGCCTGTGGTGGGCTGTGTGCCGAGCTTCTTGGCTTGACATTATTGAAAGTAATTGTTCGATTTAAGCATGAAGTAATAAACTTGCGTTGGCGAACTGAACATGATAATTGGGGATATTGTAATCAATAATTATACACCGAACTTATACACCCTCCAAATGGAGGGTCGCTACGCACTGGGCTTATACAACCTCCAAAAATATTTCAGATGGTTATGCGTGTCAAGCATACGCGGATTGCCAGCCTTAGAGGGAAGCAAGTGCAAATATGCAGAGTCCCGTACGAAAAGTCGGCTCTATGCGTGATATGCATCCAACGATCATCGAATCCATCAGTTCACTCTGAACCAGTCCTATTCTGATGGCATTTTTTTTGGCTGCCGGGCTCAGGGTCTCAAGTGGGTGGATGGTTAGCGTGCTGGTCTCGCACGCGGTGAAGACCAGGGTTCAAATCTCGACGACGGCCGCTGTTGGGCGGGTGGCTTCATGGTCTATCGGTGTGACGTAATGATGCGGACTCGCTTCAGTTGTAAGTGGAGTGAATTCTAATCTGGGTTTTTCATACCGGACGGCGGCGTACTGAGTATCCCGTGAAGGTTGACCGTAAATGAGGCCAGGAACTTGTGCAAACATTACTTGAAAATGCGTAATGTGTAAAACATTAATTGAAATGTATAATGGGTAAACATTATGCGTAATGTAATCTGTAACATGTGTAAACATTAGTGAAAAGTTAGGTGCACACGACCCTTCCGGGCAATTGCTTAAAGATAATTCCGTCCCAGCCCGGGGTGGTCTACCAGCTGTCATTCTGACGACATGGAGGCGGGTTCGCCTGATGGGTTCGTCCGGAGGCCCTCACAGATGCACGTCCTACCTTGGTGCCCTCCCTGGCGCCAAAAGGCCCTTTGGCGCCAAAATAGGTGCCCGCACTGTCCCAGGGGTCCACAATCGGCGAAAGAGGCGTATTGGCTGACATTTGGGATCATAGCCATATGGGCCAGGATGACCTGCAGCCTTTCAACCCTTACGGGCCAATCAGCCTTCCCATCGGCCCGTTTCTCGTCAGTCTTGAAGGGCACATCGGTCCATCTTCAGGCACCCTCGTACGCTCCCTGACCAGCTCGGGGGACCTTGTCAACACACCGGACCTCCGGTTAGGCGCTGTGTGCCCCTGCCTGACACAGGGGCCTCTCATTGGCTCGGGGTGCCTGGACCAATGTAAACCGCGGGTCCTGACTTGTCCCTGCTTGGGAAATGGGCTCCCAGGCCCAGCCCGGGGCCCAATCGTTGCAACGGGCCCTCTGGCTGGTATCTGAGAGTTCAACACGCGCCCCCCTCAATGAACGTTAGCCAGCCCTTCGGGTCCCATATCGGATTACGGTGCTCCCATTTGAGATTTCGTTGTGGTCACCTGAATGACACCTCAGGCTTAGGAGCAATCACTTTCTTCCCACGACAGTCCGACATCAAGGGTAAACTGAGTTCGGGGGAGGAGCAAGAAAGTGGAAAATAACAAAAGTATCCCCCACAAACGTACAGTAACAAGCAGGGGCGGATCCAGAGAGGGGGGGCCACAGGGCATGTCCCCCCTTGGACCCCAAAAGGGCCCAATTGGCTCCGGGGGCCCATAGTCGGCCGAACAGGTGCAGTTTTTTCAACACAGAACGCAACAAAACTGGGTATCTCTGGACCTTCAGGCCACCAAGAGCAGTTGTAAGCGAAAGTGAAGGGCTTATGAGAAGTCCCAAAATTACTCAATGATTGGAAAAGCTGCTAACTGGAAATTTTAAGCCCCATTGCACCGTCTAGACCACATGCTGTTTCCGGGGGACCTATATGTCCCTTGCAGGTTCATTTCGGTCGTTTAGGAGCATTCCATGTTGTCCTTCATTTCTTTGCATTTGCTCAGAGGGCCCTGCGCTGTTGTTGGGGGCTCTTCCTGTTAGAGTGCCGGGGCACTCTTGTCAATCACGGGCGCTTGTACGGATTATTTCCATTCGCCAGAAAGGCTCTGTGAGTGGTAGCCAGAGTCCCATACCTTAACCTGCCGGGGCATTCTCGGTTGCTCAGGGGCCCTTATGTGGGTATCCGTTAACCCTACCGACACACTTGTGATATGCTCATGGGTCCTCTACATTGGTATAGGGCGTTTCCAATTCTCCGTCACTTGCTTAGGGCCCTATACTCTCATCGGGGGGCCCATCTAATGGCCTGTTTAGGCACGCTGAGTCGCTCGGGGACCGTCTACACTGGGTTTTTGGTACCTCTTTGCTGAATCGCTGACCTGCTTGGGCACACTCGATCATTCGGGAGTCCTGTACATTGGGCCTTGGGTACTTCCTATTTCAACGGAGGGCCCTACGCCCCTTGACGGGAGAATATATGTAACCTCCTCTGATGCATTGGATCATTCGGGGTCCTATGCGTTGGGTCTTGAATACTTCCTGCTTGGATGGAGGGCCCTACGCTGAATTCTTTTCTGAATGGGAGCTTACACTTTTTTTTTTGGGGGGGGGGGGCTATTTGATAACCTGCTCGGGCACATTCGATCGTTCGGGGGCCCTCTATATTGAGCCTTAGGCACGTGCTATTTGAATGGGGCCCTACGCATTTGTCGGGACCCCCTCTGTTCGCCCCCTCGGCCACACTGGATTGCTGATGGGCCCTGCACATTGGTTCTCAGTGTTTGAATTTAGGGCCCTCTGCCCGTATCGGGGTCATCTGATAACCTGTTCGGGTACACTCCATCATTCGGGGCCCTCCGCATGGAGTTTCAAGGTACTTCTTATTTGAATGGAGGACCTTAAGCTCCTGTCGGGGCCCCCATATGATAAGGTGCTCGGGCCCATTCGATCAGTGGGGACCTCCACGTCTGGTTTGGGGTACTTTTATTCTAATGGAGTGCCCTCCGCTCTTTTCGGGAGCCCGATCTGTTAACCTGCTCGGGCACTCGATCATTCGGGAGTCCTGTACATTGGGCTTTGAATACTTCCTATTCGAATGGAGGGCCCCAAGCTCTTTTCGGGGGCCCTATCTGTTAACCTGCTCGGGCACACTCGATCATTCGGGAGTTCTGCATATTGGGTTTTGAATACTTCCTACTTGAATGTAGGGCCCCAAGCTCTTGACGGGGCCCTATATGTTAACCTGTTTTGGCGCACTCGATCGTTCAGAACCCTACACGTTGCGTCGTGAGTTTTTTTTTTTTTGAATGGATGGCCCTATGCTCTTAGCGGGTCCCATTTATTCAGCTGCTCGGGCCGATGGAGGATGCAGAGGGTGGGGGGGGGGGGAGGGGGGGGGGTACAGGACCATGTCTCGTGGACCATGCCGAGGGAACCTAAAGGCTCCGAAGGGGCCCATAACCGGCCGGACGGACGCACTTTCTTTACAACAAAAGCACAACAAAATTGGACGCATTTGGGCCTACAGATGGCCAAGAACCACTGCTAGCAAAAGTGAAGGGTTCATAAGTAAACGAAGTTCATTCTTTGCTGACTGAGAGAGTGTTGCTTGGGGGAAATTCTGGGGCTCATTACGCTGTCTAGAGGCATTACGTTGTTGGCTGCCTGTCTCCATATGTCCACTTGCTGCGTCAGTATGATCGCTAAGGACCTTTCCACGTTACCCTTGATCTCTTCCCTTTTTTCGTAGCACCCAATGTGCTGTTGGGACGCTATCTGCCCCCATGCTTGAGCACTGTTGATCAATCGGGTTTTCCTCCACGGATTCTTCCCATTCGCCCGAAAGGCTACATACACTTTTTCCGGGGCCGCATATTCCAGAGTACATTCAGTTGCTCAGGGGCCCTTCATATAAATCTCAGGTATTTTCTACTTTCTTGAAGGGCCTTGTGCCGTTGCTACGGCTCTTATAAGGTAAGGCGCGGAGACGCTCGATGCTCAGGGGCCCTCTACTT